CAGCCCTTTAAGGGCACTGATTGGCCTCTTTTCTCAGTTCCCTGTCCCCTTTGTTCAATGCCCTCACTCCTGGAATTTGAGAGAGAGCGTAGGTAATATACTGACCCAGAATTTAGTATGAGTTGGGAAACAACTGCAGTCATTTCATGCTCAAGGTTTTTTTTTACCTCCACACCCACCCCCCAAAAAATCATCAACTAAAACCTATAGTCAAACCTCAATTCTCAAACATCCCCTATCTTGAACAATTTGGTTCTCGACCAAGTTCACAGAAAAATGTCTCGGTTGTGGAACAAAACTTTGGTTCTCAACCCAACAGCCCTTTCATGCCAACACCTGTGTGATCAGTCACGTATTTCTCAGGCAACAAAGGAGATGATGCACAAGTAAGAATCAGTTTACCTCACATTGTTAACATATCAGGAAATTGTGCTGTGAATATTTTTGTGTGGTTTTTTTTTTGCTTTTGTTGCTGTTTATTATTAAATACATACAGGAAGTCACCATGGGTCCCAAGAAGATTAATGATAGAAGCAAAGTGAAAAGGAAAGTTGTAAGAACGGAGCTTAAAAAAGAAATAATTGCAAAGTATGATAGAGGTGTTTGTGTGTCTGATCTGGCTACCAAGTATCGCCTGGCAAAATCAACGAATAGCACAGTTATAAAACACAAAGGGGGACCATCACGAATGCTGATGTTGCTAAGGGTGTGAAAGTGCTCAGCTAACAGTGATCACAGGCAACTGAGAAAGGTTAAAACAGTATCATTTGGGGGCCTGGAACAGATTAATTCAATTTACATTATTTCTAATGGGAAAAATGATTTGATTTTCAAACAAATCACTTCTCAAAGAGCCTTCCGGAACAAATTAAGTTCGAGAACCAAGATTCCACTGTGTTAATAACCAGCAGATTACAGGTCCCTTTAAAGCAGAAATGCCACTTGAAAGATAGAACACATTGAACAGTTATCAGCCTTTATCCTTTTCTAGAATTTTTGGTCCTTTTCCCAGCAGAAAACAGAGCCCTGAGAGAATGGGATGTTACAGCCATGGTGGGGAGAGGAAACTTGGACAGGTTCCTGGGCAGCCAGGTCTCTGCAGCAGCCGGGGGAGAGGGTGGCTCCGTGGAGTTCACTGGGTGCCAGCAGGGGCCACGCTGGCAGAGCAGAGGCAATGACAGGAGAGAGAACAGAAGGGAAAGATACACGCAGAGGAAAGATACTATGTTTCTGTATTTGAATAAATGTTTACATAGGTCTTCAGATTCTTTTGTTTTAGCTAAGTTTACTCAGAATAGATGAACCATTCAGGGAGTTCAGATTTGGGTAATGCTTGCAATGATGGGCAATAACACAAGAGTACCTACCCCTTTCTATCCATCAGTACTGCTGTTTGCTAAAGACTGGATGTATATTATTCAAGTTGGAAGAATTATTAGAATATGTAAAATCCAGTTTTTGGAAAGACGGATATGGCACCCTCCCCAAGCTTACCCTCCTGTTTCATGCTGCAACCTGCTTCCCTTCTGCCCACACCCGAAGTGCCTCACTTGCTCTACTTTTTCCTTTTTCAGTCATACCTCTCACCTTCTAATACACCACATAAACTACTTATCTATTATATTTATTGTGTATTGTCTCCATCTCCTTGCTGCAGCGTAAGTACCATGAGGGCAGAGTTTTTGTTTTGTTCACTGAAGTATTCCCAGCACCTAGAACAGTGTTTGATGTGTAGCGGGCACCCAACCAATATTGAATAACAGAAGTGGAAAAGCAAATTACAAAGAAATGGATATAAAATGATCCTGTTTTTGTTTTGTAAAATACCTACATAATAATACATGTACTATAGGGAAAAAATTGTAGGCAGATAAACCACATTTTAGATAATAATTACTACCAGAGGGATAGGATTACAGGAGATTTTCTGTCATATGTTTCTTAATGTCTCCCATTTTTACAGTACTACTTTTGAAGTAAAAAATAATGCTATAACAAAATAAAGATTAAAGAAGTTGGTTAGACCTAAAAGGAGCTTTGTTTGTTTTGCAGGAACATACATTACAGTGAAAGAAAGTTATACTGTTACAAGAGCCTTTATAAAAAGTTTGATGTTGTTTTGATAATCTTGAGTTGGTTTTTTGAACTGAGACAATACTCACCTCATTTGTGAACTGATAGGGTTCCACTGAGGGACCATCTAATTTTTTTTCTTCAGTAATAATTTTACCTAGCATGCCATCTGGGGGCCCTTCTTAGATGGTAGGTAATAAATTTGAAATAGGATTGTACTTTATTCTTATATCTCCCCACCCAGCACTGGCACATGGTAGACATATGTAGTTGAGCAAGTGGCAAGTGAGTGATACCTTTGGTGGGTATAGGATGGTAGGGTTGCCTGACAAGTGGGTGGCAGAGAAGGAGAAGCATTAGGGAGCGGAAAGGCCTTCTTACCCTTAACTCTGCTCTTCACGTATCCTGCACAGAGCTGGTCAGCAAAAGCTGTTTATTGAACTGCAGCTCATAACAGGCAGAACATGAATGCTGTTCATTGCAGGAAGGAGCTACGGAGTGCATTGTTTGACAGGGAGTGTCTTCCTGAGGCAGGATCCATAGAACAGGTGCAGAATTACAGCGTATACTCATCCTGCCTCTTGTTGAATGAAGGCAGAGGCGGCCTCCTGAGATCCTGTGTGCTGTATAGGGTATCCTTTACACATCATTTCATTTTATTTTTGCTGATCTATTTATTTTTAGATTTCTCATCTTTAAAATTTTTTATGGTCATTTTTCCAAACTACTGAAAAGAACATTGACATTAAAGGCAAAAAAAGGCTATTCTTTTCAGTAAAAAAAAAATTTAAAAAAATTGTTTAAAATACTTTTTCTAAGCATATACATGTCTATTTTATTTATTTATTTAATTATTATCTGTTTTAATCCTCACCCGAAGATATTTTTTTCCATTGCTTTTCAGAGAGTGGAAGGGAGGTAAGGAAGGAGAGAGAGAGGGAGAGAGAGACATCAGTGTGAGAGACACATCAATTGTGTCTCCCACACAAGCCCCGACTAGGGCCAGGGATCAAGCCTGAAACCAAGGCACATGCCCTAGGCTGGAATCAAACCCAGGACTGACCCTTCAGTCCTCTGGCCAACGCTCTAACCACTGACCAAAACCAGCTAGGGCCATAAAATGTGCATTTTAAATGAATCAGTTAAGGTGGAGAAATGACAAGTCATATATCCTTACCCCAGAATTAAATATTTGAAAGGAAATGTCTATTTTATTTCCAGGATAAAACGTTTTTCATTTTCATGTTGCTGAAATGTAGCTTTACTAAAGTGTTAAATTCAAGACTCTCCTGAGCACCCGCTTTGTGCTAGGCACAATGCTGGGTAGGATGGCGGCCCCTGGTGAGCCCTGTGGGTAAGTTTTCCACAGGAAAACACAAGAAGGCACAGGAGTGTGGGCTGCAGAGGTCTTTCTTCCTAGGGGTGTGGGAGGCTACACATTAGGGGGAAAATTGCTCCTCGGTTCAGTTGCCCCTCATTTTCAGGCAGATACTTATGAAATGATTGCACTCCCATGAAAGATAGCTTCTACATAATTCAAGATTGTCCTGATCCCTCTCATCAGAGAGGAAGAAAAGCCACATGAATTATTTACAGAGCATCAAGTTATTTCCTTTCATGAGCTCCAACTTTGTTTTTGTCCCTGCAAACTGAGATTTTGTTTATCCGTGAATAGTTTTCCTTGGGGCATGAAAAATATGACTCTTTAATTATGAATGAGGTTTTTTGTTTGAACCCATGTTAACTAAAACATGCAAAATAAACTGTGTTTTTCATTAGATCCTTTTCAGCTCCCCACAAAAACAGAACCTACAAAAGACCTAGCAGTTCAACCAGCACCCACCAGGAAGCCCACTGTGATTCGAATTCCAGCCAAACCAGGAAAATGTAAGCACTTTTCTGCCTTCTTTATTTGTTTCTCCAAGAGCCTGGGAGAAATATATGCTATTTTATCAATGCCTGCTTTTGAAATCATGTGTAATCGGCCATTTATTATTATTCATAGTCAAGACATTTAAAAAAAAGTTGTTTTTTACAATTCTTTAGACAATTAGTACATTAAATTTGGATTTTATTTCTTTTTAACATTGTCTTTTGGTAGAGAGACTAAAGGAAGACCGAAACTCAGAATTATAATATCCTGTCCTAGTGCCCTTGGTAAAGTATGGTAGGAAAGTAATTGAAACTGATAGCAAATGAAGTTATATGCGTCTGTAATATAGAGTATATTATTCCAGTATATATGGGAAATATATTATTTCAGTCAGCATAATCTAAACATAACGATGTTTACTCTTTTCTGCACACCTATATATTGGAATAATAGTCCTGAAATCCTGAAACTGGTATATGGAAGAAGCACCTTTATTTCTTATCCTGACAAACCTCCAGGCACTATTAGAAAGTTGAATTCTATCCTGCTATAAGTGAGAGAACTGAAGTGCTAGTTTCTAGACTCGAGAGTTATTTCTATTTCAAAAACCAGTTCCCCACAATTTTATTATTACAATGATCAAGCAGTGCATATATGCTGTGGAGGAAGAAAAGCATGACTTTTGGTGTCTGAAGAGCCTCGAATGGACAAGTGAAGAAAGGAACAGGTTTATGGTACAGGACTCCTGACGGTTTCCTCATTGAGACCTCTGTGGACCACATTATTTGAAATTGGAAACCTCCACCTCCCCCCACACCCACACTGGATAGTTCTTGTGTCCCTTACTGCCAGTCGGCTGTCTCCTCTCTACTTTCGTATTGTTTCTACTTTGTACTCTTAATTGTTTGTCACAACAATATTATATCCTAAACGATTCATTACTTCTTGTTAAGAATAAGGAAACTGTAGCATAGAGAAAGGCTTCCAGATGGTGACTGAGTTGGAATGTTTCCATGCATGTTAATTCCCAGGGCAGCACTGCCTCTCACCAAGAATGCTTACCTGTCTCTAAATCACTGTTTGTCTAGTATTTGGCCTGGGTGTTTTCCTCCTTTTGAGTGTTTTCCTGTCTGTGGATAAAATAGGGACCTGACAGATCATCCTCTTGTTCCAGGTTTTTCCCGTGAAATGGAGGCAGAGAGTGTTCTTTCGAAAGACAGGGAAAACCTCCCATCTCCTTTGAATGCCTAAGCCATGTGTAAAAGATGGGTTTAGCCTCCTTTAGTATGTAACAGCCATCCTCTCTCCAAGTGTTCCTGCACACAGATTTTAATTAACTGTCACTAATTTAATCTGGTCATCTTTGTTTTCTTCTTTTTAAAATGAATTGGAGGTGCACAATCACTGAGGGAAGAATGCTGGTTGGATGTAAAGATATTGTTTGTTAAATTGAGGGAGCAATCAGGGCCCTTAATCTGGAGATAATGAATTACAAAACACATTTAACTATTTGGATGGGGGAAGGTTGGATACCTCACCTATTAAGAAGCAGCACACCTATTCCAATGAGCGTAGCCTTTCCAGTTCAAAACCCTGGTTCTGACAGTTACTAGCATTAAGACCTTGGGTGGCTCATATATTTTCTTCTCGGTTTCAGTTTCTTCATCTGAAAAACAGGGAGGATATTATTTAGTGTAGCGCTGTCCAATAGGACTTTCTTCAAAGACGGAAATATTTCAGAACTGCTGTACTGTATGGTAGCCATTTGCCACATGTGGCTATTGAGTACTTGTAATGTGGCTAGTGCAACTGAGGAACTGAAAATTTAATTTTATTTAATTTTAAATAATTAAGATTTAGGTTTAAACTACCACATGTGACTACTAGCTAATGCACTGCGCAGATCTAGCACATAGATAGATCTTGGTTGGAGAAATGTATGTGGGTAAAGTGCCTTAATGCCTGACATTTAGAAGGTTCTAAAAAATGTTGGCTGCTGTAATTATTTAATATCATTTTTACTCTCTATAAAACATTCTGTAGCTGATGTCCACTAACCCATCAATTTTTTTTTTTTTTTTAATATATCTTTATTGATTTCAGAGAGAGGAAAGGAGAGGGAGAGAGATAGAAACATCAATGATGAGAGAGTCATTGGTCAGCTAGCCCACAACCTGGGCATGTGCCCTGACCCAGAATCGAATCCCAATCGCCTGGTCGATGCTTAACCGCTGAGCCACCCTGGCCAGGCACCCATCAATTTTCTGAAGTTTGCTGGGAGTTCTTTCTCATTTGCTTAGCTATCCATGTTTGTGTGGATCTTTTATGGTAACCATTTTCCTAAGGAACCAAGCTGCAATCATTTCATCCTCGGAATCCCCAAAGACCAGAAATTATTGATGAATTACTGCTGTTTTTCCAGGTTTACATGAGGATCCACAAGGCCCACCTCCTCTCCCTACTGAAAAGCCTATTGGAAACACTTACAGTACAGTATCTGGAAAACCCAGTAATGCTGACAGAACTAGAAGCTTGGTAAGTGGTCATTATAGATTGTCGTAGGTTGAAGACCAAACGATGCGCTAATTTTAAGTTATTTTACTACTGGTCAGATTAAAAAATACCTTTATTGCAAGTCATTTTCTAAGTTCCATGTATTTATTTAATGTGATGTTTTATATTTTACAAATCCCTATAGAACAAAAGAATTAGGCCAATTCATTGTACTGCATCATAAAATAATTTGTCCTATACCAATATAATGGTTATGTCTTTTAAGTGGCACTAATAATGAGGAAGTTATGAAAAAATCTCTAAAAACTGCTAATATTTGTGGAAATAAATTTATTTCAATTGTCAGTTTTTATTTAAAATACCAATTAGTGACATAATTTTAAGAATTACCATAAGAATTTGTTACTCTGAAATTTAGGGGAAAATTATTTTTAAATTAAACAAAATAGTGCTTTACTGTATACTTCTTAACAAATGGTGGGCAAAGAGTTTTAAATATATATATTTTTTCTTCAGCCTTAATGCAATTTCCCTATACTTTTTGAAATTCCCATAAGATAGATAATCTTTAAGGTTTGTTTCAAAAGAAACCAATACTTAAAGTCTGTGAAACAACTTTTCAGTTTGAATTTCATAATAGTTTTACATTGTGCATTAACTATGCTTATTTTACATGCAAACCATCTAATCATCCAGTTGAAAAGAAATTTCTTTGAAGAAGACATTAAATTGAATTAGCTAATATTAAGTTAATGAGATTTTCCTGTAGGCTGAATTAAAATTTAGTGATCACTTGCATTTTCAAAGTGCTTGGTAATACATTTTTATTAAAACTGGGCCAAGAAATCCCAAAAGGGGATGATACCATACTATTGTTGAATAGGAATATCCCAAATTTCCACGGAGGAAAACTTACCTGAGAAGGTCACAGCATCTGCTCAAAGGGTTATAAAAGGGAGTGAGAGAATGATGAGTATTAGGCATACATATCATTCACTGAAGTCATGGGCTTTGTAAACTACATGTGAAGCTCTATTAAAATACGAGGTATTACATTTGGTGTTAAGCAGTCCACAAAGCAACTCCCACATTTTAGAAAAAACAAGAAAAAGAAGTTAGAATAAACTAAACCATCTGGAGAAGTACTATATTCATAATTGTTTATACCTCACATGAACAACATGAGGAAAATCCTGTCCTGCACTGTTTACAAAGGTGGAGGGTGGGGCCAAAGCATTCTGTGCTGAACTGTAATAAGTACATCCCATGAGAGACACACTGGGTCTGAAGGGAGAAGAGGTGAGAAATAGACCACAAGTTAAATGATTTGGCTGAAGTCACACAAATAGATTTCTAGGGCCAGAAAGTCAGATCTATGAGAAATTCCTTTTGTTTGAGAGTTACAATTACTGAATGGATTTTAGACCAGAGGGCATAAAGGCTTCAGGTGTGGGTGAGGATCTCTGGAAAAACTATTTCTCCAGTGTAATGACCCGTAAGGACAGGCTTGGTCTTTTCCAGTGTGTCATCTGATAAGGCACAGGAAAAAAACCTCCACTGTTTCTCCTGCCTTCAGTACTGGGGAACTTTCCATCTCAGGACAGATTTTGCAGCTTTCCATCGTTGCAAAATCTCACTTTCTTCATTTAAATGATGAGGGGCTCCAGGGTGAGGAACATCAGGACCCTGTGACCATTCTGTCAGCAGAGGCAGATGTTTCTGTGTACCTACCATGGGAACCCGTGGCTCCCAAAACCTTCCCCAACGAGGCTGCCAGCCGGTGCAGGAGGGAATCATAGGTATAGCACAGAATGTGGCTCATGAATTCAGGACCTAGAAGTGGTACCAGTTCCTGCAGAAAGTAGAGGAGAAGCATCTGCAAAGGCTGCTCAGTCATTCCAGCAGATGAGAGTGTGGTCTTAGAAGAAATGTTTGTCTTTTGAAAATATAGCTAAAAACTGGGACTTATTTTGATATTAGAATATAAAAAAGAATTCCAAAGCAGATGAACAAAAAAGATGGCATCTCCAGATCTACAGGGACAGTACAGCAGAAAAACCAACTTCTTCAGGAACTAAAATGCCTATCCAAACACATCAAAAGCCAGAATGCAGGGATGTCAGAGCAGCTCCAGTTATGTGTGGAATATTATTGAAGAGGAGGAAAGCCCTAATCAATAATCTTCCAAAGAGTGTTGGCAGAACCTGTGCATAAACCTGAATTTGAGCCAATACTAAGGCAGTTATTTCTGCAGTAACCATTTCCCTGTACTCAGTGTGTCAGATACAGCAGTGTGTTTCAGAGGTACCCAACATTCCTTGGGGATTTGAAGAGACTGCCTTTTTTCTGATTTAGAGTTTGCTCATTGTAGAAAATTGAGAAGAAGATATTTAAGATTGTTATAAAATAGCACCATCTGGAGAAAACTACATCTGGTATCTGGTACTAGATTAGGATTATATGATATCTATTTATTACAGTACATCATCTACAACTTTCTATGTCAAATTTATATGTCTATATTTTTTAAATTTTGCTTTTAATTAAGGTATCTAACAACTATAATGCTGAGAAAAAGCAACAAACGTTCCTATCTATCTACTATAATGTTTCTCTGCTTTTTTTAATTTTAAAAGTGACCAAAGAAATAAATGATTTTTTTGAGTATCACAGTAGTATTTGTCAGGGGGAAATATCGGCAGCAGTGTATTTATAAGGCATGGATTATAGTCTGTAATATTACAGGGTTTATGAGCTGGTGACTTTCTTCACTACATTAGCTGAACTCATTAGTGAAACCAAGTTTTAAGGGCAGCTTAATTTGTTTTTAAAAATGAGATTTTAAAACATTGAAACATATTTCAATGATCGCAGCTATTGGCAGTTAATCATTTGATATTTAAGGAAAAGTTATAAATATTCAGTTTGAATTAAAAACCATGGAAGTGATTTTTAACTCATTTATATAGGAGAAGGAGGAAAAGTCTGGAATAGCTCAAAGATCTCCCAAGGTATAGTTAAACCTCTTTTACAAAAAAGAAAAAGGGCAGTGTAATTTTAAAAGGCTGGCATTTTTCTCCCTTATGAGTTCCTGGAGAAATATTATTTTCTGGAAGTCAGTGTTAGGGGCTTAGAAAGTAGAAAAGGTTGAGAGAGACAGAGAGAGAGAGAGATCAGAATTAGAAGAATTTGGTGAGTACTCTTCTCAGCACATCCCACCCTTTTGCTGTAATGATATGAGCTCTCTGCTTTCTTGGGCCACGTCCTTTTTTCCTCAAATGCCTTCCTTTCAGGCCATCCCTTAAGCTTCTTTTATTGCTCCCACATCCTTCCAGCTCAGAACCCACCGCACCATCCAGTGATGCAAGATCTGCCTGTTCTAAGCAAAACAAATTAATCACCACTTATAATGTGTTAAACTTAGGAGCAGTACATATCTTGTGTGTCATCATGGGTCACATAAGAACCATATGTTTTGTTTTTTTTAATTCCCTACACTTCTTGCTTAAATTGCTACTGTGTAACTTATCACTGTTTAAACATCATTCTTGATACCTTTTGAATCTGCTGAGTGTATAACCATGCAGGGCAATTGGTTGGGCCATGGTCCACAATAACAGATCACCATTCTCCTCCTCTATGTCTTCACTTGTATAAGGATATGGACAATTTAGGTGGGAACATGGAATGAGTTAATATTGCTTAAGACTAAAAACTTTCTGTCTAACTTGTTTTACTTTCTCTAACTCAGCTATGTTTCCATTTATAGATCCAGCCAAAAAGTTGTCCACAATTCCTCTTGACGAGGTCTTGTTTCAGATGAACCTTAACTAAAAAACATTCTCTGATACTTGCAGGAATCAGACCAGGCTGTTCAAACAGGAGGCTCTGTGCGAAGACCCCCAAGGCTGCCACCAAGGTAAGTGTGGGAAAGCTTTAAAAAAGTAAGTTAGAAAACAATGACTCAGAGACTGGGCTGTCCTTCTTGTCATCAAAACCAAGTGCTGTTGGCCTTAGATCTCCTTTTAGAGATCCATTAAACTCATCAGTTCACTCAGGCCAATAGCCTACAGTCTGCTTCTGACAGTAGGTTGTAGGAATCTCTGCTGCTTCTTTGAACACAATCTCAAAAACTCACAGAACACAAACGTGGATCTCTGTTACTTTTCCTCAAACTAACAAGACTCCTTTCTGAACCTAGAACAACTCCACTTCTGGAATGAACACACTCTCACACACTCACCCACTCCCCGTTATGAGGAACCAGCCTGGTTTTGGCATTTCCTAAGGGAGACAGGCTCTGTGAGCTCAGTGGTGACCTGCCTGCCTGAGTTCCAGGGTTGTTTGAACAAAAAGCTGTGATGCTATCAGATGTTACTATGTTAGAAATTGTTTCTATCATAGGGATTAAGGAAAGGCTTTCAAGGTAATGGATGTCCTATCTCATTTTCAAAACAACTTTCTTTATATTAATCTAAATTAGAGTTGGAATCATAATTCCTATAACATAAATATTAGGGGAATTTGATATTCCTTTTCTAATCATGGACTAGACCACATCATGTATACCTGACATTTTACTATAAGCTTTTCATCTCAGACTTTGGTAGAAAGTGCTTAGTTTCCTGAAATAGTCATGGTGTATTTAAAAGCAAATGGGGCCTTTGAGAGCGCATGAGAGTAAATGCTTGTTTGTCTTGAACTAATGAATCTCCAGTGCAAGATAAGAGGAAGCTGGAAAATCATGACATTTCCTCTAATAATATAATGTTTAATGCAGCAGGCATTTGCTCAGAAATAGCATACCCTGCATGTTTAGGTAATTGTATTATATTAGCAGAAAGAACTCCCCCACCCCTGGGTGGGGGGTGGGGGGTGGTGTGTGTGTGTGTGTGTGTGTGTGTGTGTGTGTGTGTGTGTGTGTGTGTGTGTTTTAGGACAAAACAGAATCTAATATTGATGAAACACTGACTCACAGCTCCCACATTGCCTTTCAGACCTACAAATGGAAAAGTCATACCAGCTCGACAGCCTCCTTCCAAGGGGGCCCCTGCACGACCACTTCCCCCTAGACTTCCTGCAACCAGAACATCAAATAAAAAACTGCCTTTTAATTGTTCTTCTGACATGGATCTTCAGAAACAACAAAACAGCTTGGCATCCAGACTCCCAAAAGCCAAGAGTCAAGTTTTTAAAAGTCAATATCCAGTGCTACCCCCTCGCCCTAAACCAGGACACCCACTCTACAGGAAATACATGGTAAATTTAGCTTTTAAAGATGTTTGTGGTTGCCTGGCCAGGCATGGCTCAGCGGTTGAGCATCGACCTGGGGTCCAGGCGATTGGGGTTTGATTCCCCGTCAGGTCACATGCCCGGGTTGCGGGCTCGATCAATGACTCTCTCATCATTGATGTTTCTATCTCTCTCTCTCCCTCTCCTTTCTTCTTTCTGAAATCAATAAAGATATATTTTAAAAAAAAAAATTATAAAAAAAAGATGTTTGTGGTCAAAAGGTTTGTCCTGAAGTAATATATAAGATAGATCCATTATTCCTTAGAGGAAGACGATGAGACAAATGTGGACTTGACCCTTGACCCTAAGAGTGCTTTAGATAAGTAGGCCATGATAAAACCTAGGTCTTTAAAGCAGGGTTTCATTATTAGGAGAAATATAGGAAGAAGAAGCAGTGCAGGCAGGGATTGACCAAACAAGAGCTCTGACAGACCTAACCAGTAGATTAGACTGATGGGAGTAACTGATAGATTTTGTATCCCTTACCCACAGCTTAAAATTTAAAATAAAATAGAAAGGTCTTATTAAGATGAATGGTTTTTCCCTAATTTTCCCCTTTTGTAAACCTAATTATCATGGGCCATTTAATAGGTACCAGTTAGAAGTTTTCATCAATAATTGGGATAGTTGAGCCCTGACCAGTGTGGCTCAGTTGGTTGAGCATCATCCCATGTACCAAAAGGCTGCCGGTTCAATTTCCCAGTCCGGGCACATGCCTGGGTTGTGGGCTCGGTCCCCTGTAGGGGATGTGCAGGAGGCAGCTCATAGATGTTTCTCTTTCTCCCTCTCCCTTACTCTCTTTCTCTAAAAATCAATAAAAATATTTAGGAAAAAAAATAATTGGGATAGTTCAGATATTAATTGTTTTGTCTTATGAGTATGTTTCTCATCATATGACCTTAAACCTTTGTCTTCATTTCCCATACTTAAAAACAGAGTTGATGTGCTCTCTCTACTTTGGTTCGGTTAAAAAATAAGGAAATCAGATCAGACCTGTTTGTTTTTTTTATTTTATTAAATTTTATTGATTGATTTTTAGAGAGTAAGAGAGAAACATCGATTTGTTGTTTCAGTTATTTATGCATTCATTGGTTGTTTCTTGTATTTGCCCTCACCAGAGATTGAATCTGCAACCTTGTCCTATCAGGACGATGCCATTAACCATCTGAGCTAATAGGCCAGGGCCTGTTCGTGCTTTTTAAATAATAGTATGACAGTAACTTTTATCAAGAACAGCAACTAATAATTTTATATTGTGCTACATTTCCATCATTGAGCCAGAAATTATTTTCACTTTAATCCATTTAGAGTTTTATAAAATCCTCCTTAGTCTAGTGTATTCATATACATTCATATTCAGTTAAACTGATGACATTTTTAATTGCTGTAACCCAGGGATATTGTTTGGGTTACATTACTTAAAAATAATAAGTAAATAAAAATAGTAGCTAATAGTGTTGAGTACTTATTTTAGGCCAGGTATTGTTCAGAGCACATTATATATATAAAATAACTCATTTACTCCTCACACCAACTCTGTGAGGTAGCTACTATTATTACCTCTATTATACAGATGAAGAAAATAATACACAGAGCCATTAAGTAATTTGTCCAGGGTCACAAAGCTAGTTAGCGGTGGAGCCAGCTTTTGAACACAGATCAACTGACAGCCCATGCTCTTAACCATGTTGCCATACTGTGGAAATGGTGCTTGTGGTTCTGAGCATAGCTGTGTGATGTCAATTAAAGCATTTAAATTACTCAGTAAATTTAAAATAATGGTATATTAGAGTAGATGTCTCATTTTGAAATAATTTCTTAAATTCCTTGTTTTTTACAAGGTTACCCTACCATTAAATTGCTAACCAGGAATCTGGGTACCTTGAGAGCCCTGGGATTCTGACGGAAATGCTGGGAAGTGTCACCACCCAAGCCCTCTCACTCTGCATCTTTGCTCCCGAGTGGTGGAAGGGCCCAAGTAGCCTCTATTTCCTTGTTGGAAGTGAGCTTGTGTGATCACATTTCCTGGATATGCTTTATATTGTAAAGGCTGTCTGACCTGTACTCATCAGCCAAAATGGACCAAGGCAGGGAACAGAGTCCCCTGGCCAGGGTGGGGTACAGACGTACAAACCTTTCTAAGATCAGACACAGCTGAGTGCACCAGAAAGTGATTGGAGTCAGGCAGTGAATTGGGTTTAAGTAGACGCTTGGTAGCAGAGAGGCTCTATTAGATGAGATCCAGGGCAAATGAAGCAGTCAGTCAAGCACTGTAGAGGAGGTGCCAGTCCCTGATCAGCCTTCAGAAGACAACAGCCATTGAGAGCCCTGACTCAAAGGCAGTCATTACAGGTTATGAATGCAGGTGCTGAGTATTTTTCCTTCAGACACCCAGGGGACTTGGTGGACCTTGTCCTATAGAATAGAACTTCCTGGTTCTAGCTGTTAAAGAGAACTTTAGGCCACATTCAGCTGTTGTGGGCTCAACTCCATACTCCCAAGAACTCAGTATCCATGAGAAATGACAGGCCCCACTACACCTGGAGTGTGAGGAAGCCAAGTAAAGATTTTCCTGGAGAAGGTGTATTTTAGGCACACCTGCCAAATCCCCACATGACCAGCAATTTTTGAGGAGGTTCTTTGATTGTGAATAATCCTTTTACTGGTTTACATTTAAGCTGTCTGTGCCTCATGGAATTGCCAATGAAGACATTGTCTCGCAAAACCCCGGAGAACTCTCTTGTAAGGTAAAGTAGAGCGCTTTACTGACAAATGTAAAAAAAATCGCCAGTCTCTGTTATCACTGTTTTACACATTATTAAATGCTTTAGGCTCCAAAGATTAAAATGTGGGAAAAGTAATAATGTTTTATTAAATAATAATTGCTTCAGAGAGTGGTATTGTACCTTACAGCGTGGGGACGTACTTGTGATGCTGAAGCAGGCAGAAAATAATTACTTGGAGTGCCAAAAGGGAGAAGACACTGGCAGAGTTCACCTGTCTCAGATGAAGATTATCACCCCACTTGATGAACATCTTAGGAGCAGACCAAACGTAAGGAATTAATATTGTATAGCCCTCATATCACCCATGGCAGCATGTTTCGTAGAACTATTAATTATATCTCATTCTCAGATTTTTATTAGTATTTTTTAAACCAGAGTAAAAATTACAGTAGCATTTTATTCCATTTTAAGAATAAATTACTTCTAAAAGACTTGCCACTGTCTTATTAATCACCTTGATACACAGTGACTACCACGTGCCTTGCCTTCTTCATATCATGCTGACTTAAAGCAACCAGAGCACTCAGGCATTAATTTTCAACTGTGAGAGCCATTTATTTTTTAAATAATGTAGATGCTTACTAAAGTGCCAGAGATTAGTTCCCTAGCAGAATGGATAATTATTTTAAAGGGACCCCTATAAATGCTCAGCCTGACATAAAAAAGCACTTCCTGTTAAGATTTAAGCTTAGTGTAAACCTCATCTCTTCTGATTATAGCTCATAAAATAATGAAATGAAATGTAATCCAACAACGTGAGGTTACAATTTAGGCCTAACAAATTTGTGGATCCGGGGAGAATATAGTGATCATCAAAAGTCTTCGTTTAGCAAGAAAAATGCCATTGAACTGTGTTTAGAGGTATATTTTTAAAAGAGCTTCTTAAGTAACCCAGTTAAATTTTCACTGTTAGTTAATGTAGCAAACATGAAAAATAATATCCACCAATTGTTTAATCCAAGTAAAGCATTTGGTTTCCCATTCATCCTAGTTTTCATAATCTGGTCCAATTCTCCCTTCTTAGAAGGCAGTTTATCTTTTGAAGTTTGCTGAGAAAACTAAAAATTTGTATATTGGAGAGCAGAGAAGATACACATTAAGCTAATTGCAGCTAGGATACTGAAAATTCTAAGTTTAATTCATGTGGGGAAGGTTCTTCTATCACTCATATTCTTTGTTTTGATCCATCATTATCCATCTGTCACAATTGCCCTTCCTCTCTCAGAACACACTGACAGGTAACCATGGGAGTTGGGCTGCCAAAAAGCTTTTCTTTATGAAAAGTAGAAGCTAAAAAGATGAGAATTTATTCTTTTTTTAATATACCAAATTTTTTTCCACATTAAACATCTCATTTATCTTGTATCGTAGACTTGCAAAGCTGTCCTCTACTGGCCAACTACAGGTGATACTAAAATGAAGCCTAGTTTAGGCTTCTTGGTTCATGGCTAGCATCACATTTTTTAGAAAGTAAATCTTACCTTTTTGAAAGCCTGGCTTTTAAGGTAAAGATTTCTAAAAAATGTGTTATACTTTCCCTTGCCTTAGTAAACAGAAAATATCAAATGAGATCAATTGAAGTTGAATCTGCAGATCATGTGGAAAGTGGGAGATTGTTATTTTGTTGCAAGCACATATTTGGGCTTCAGGGAGATGGGTTTCTGTTCCCTTTCCACCACCTCAGTTATCTCTAAACTGCATTTTTTAAATGTGTGAAGTAGTTATGATAATTCTTCACAGAGTCATTTTTAGAATTCATATATTATATATTCCATTTATATAAAAGTACAGTATAGGTAAATCCAGAAAGTAGATTAGTGGTTGCCTAGGGCTGGGGGTTGGGGAGAGTGGTGGTGAATGGGGAGTGACTGCTAATGGGTAGGTTTCTTTGTAGGGGTGATAAAAAGTTTTAAACTTAGATTGTAGTGATGGTTGCACAATCCTGTGAATATAGTAAAACTATGTATTCTTTAAATGGGTGAATTTTTATGATGTGTGAATTATATCTCAAAGATGTTTAAAAAATTAAATGAGCTAATTAATGCATATAAGGTGTTTAACACTGTAAGTAGTATAGTGAGTGAACAATGAATATTAGCTATTCTTATTACTCATTTGTATTAGCTGTTAGAGCCATATTAAAGAGAGCTTTGAAATAAATTAGATTTACCTACCAGATACCCACCCTAATGGTGTGGTCTGAGTTATATAGACCCCCTAGTGGCCAAGCCTTTTCCTCTTGTCCTTCACCTACCAGACATGGTTGATGAGCAGCATTCCTAGGGGTTATCCCCGCACTAAAGTTAGAGAGGGAAGCTAATTGGAAGGCACAGGTTATTATCCCACCTCTTCTATTCTCCAGGCTTGATTATGTTTAGACTGTTGAGATTCATGTTTGTGTTTTGTGTGGGGTAGGCCTCTGACTTCATTTATTTTCCATGTGGATAGCCAACTAGCCTAACACAATTTATTTATTTTTCACTTGAAATAATTTTTTATTTTTCAATTAGAGTTGACATACAATATTATATTCATTTCAGTGGTACAACCCAGTGATGAGCATTATTTAACTTACTAAGTGATCATTACTGATAATCTCACTCCCATCTGACACCATATACAATTATTAGAATATTATTGACTGTATTCCCTATGCTCTACTTTACATCCCCATAACTATTCTGTAACTACCAATTTGTACTTTTTTTCTTAAATGTTTTTTGTTTTTTTAGAGGAAGGGAGAGAGAGAAACAGTGATTTGTTGTTCCACTTCTTTATGCATTCATTGGTTCTTTTTTTTTTAATCCTCACCCGAGGATATGTTTTTATTGATTTTTAGAGGGAGGGGAGAGAGAGAGAAACATACATTGATGTGAGAAACATCAATCTGTTGCCTTCCATACACACCCCTACCAGGGATTGAACTCGCAACCTAGGAATGTGCCCTGACCAGGAGTCGAACTCCACAACCTTCTGGTGCACAGGATGATGCTCAACCAGCTGAGCCACTTGGCAAGGGCTCATTGGTTGATTCTTGTATGTGCCCTGGCACTGGAACCCTGGGCTGAGGGGGCTGATGTGGGGCTGGGACCACTTGCTCCGTAGGGGGAACCTCTATAGCTGCAATATCCCTCCCAGTTGTTATCTGCCACATGTGGTGTGGGACCAGCCTCTTCCACATCTCCACCCCTCCTACCAGTCTTGATGTGGCTTCTTCTTTGTATCCTTAGTTATAGAACTTCTATTCAGCTAGATTTCAGGCAGTTCTGAATATGGTTGTTCTGTAGTTTAGTTGTAATTCTGATGTGGCTGTGGGAGGATGCAAGTACTGCATTTACCTATGCTGACATCTTTAGCAGATGTTAGCTGAACTCAGTGTATTGAATAAGTCATTCCTTTTTCCACAGATGTAAATCAGAAAAAAATGAAAGCCATGTATGTATGCATATAATAAATTATGTAAATAATTTTTAAAAGCCCCTCCAGATTTAAAATATCCCACAATTCCTTTCCATAATCCCTGAAATTCTCATGATGCTTATTTATTTAGGGGAAAGCACTAAGCGGCCCTTAAGAAAATGTCAGTGTTACTTTGGTAAACTCATATAACAGGCTGCCTTTAGCCATTACTATCTTGACCTAAGTTGGTATTTCAGTTTACCTAACTTGAGAGAATGCGGCACACCTCCACAGGTGCATTCTCATTGAAAGAGCAGGTGAGATTTAGAGAAGATCTGAGCAGAGATGCTGCAGGATGGAAATGGAGAAGTTGGACCATTATCCACAGTGCAGTCTGATCTACCGGGCACATCATGGCCAGGCGAGGGGTAGAGGGATAGAAGTATGGAGATACCCCTGAGGTGACAAGTCATTGAAGGAGGTGAAGAGACAAGAAGGGGCACAAAAATCTGTCTACATTTATTTTGCAAGTTTGCCAGTGTTGAAGAGTTTTAAAATTGTAACTCCAAATAATATCCTTCAGTCAGATTTGATGATGATGATGATAGGCATTATTAGCCTGTTTATATGAAGAAACTAAGAATAACAACTGCTTGTTATTAAGGAAAGTTCACTCTTCAACTTCCCCCTCTGCTCTAGCAAATCTATGGCAGTTGGCTAGATGGTTAGAGAATATTGAATTCTCTTTGCTAATTTACTTAGAATTGCTATTGAATAAACCATTCAGATTAAGTAGAAACTCCAGGCCAGGCACAGGAGATAGTGTTGGATTTTAAATTAGAGAAAACATTCAGTTAAGTGGTAATAAATGAAATGGATTTTACTTTTGTGAATTATACTTTTGTGGAAGTCATTAGCGCTTTTCATTATGAAAGGCAAGTGCATCAATTCCAGAACTTTCTTCAATTCCTATCTTAATACAGATAAAACTTCTAAGGCTCTGTTCTTAAGATTTAGTGCTAGTGCCATGTCTGAGTGGTTAGAGTTTCAGCCCTAGGACTGAAGGGTCTCGGGTTTCATTCCTGGTCAAGGGCCTGTACCTGGGTTGCGGGTTGCCTCCCCTCACCCCAACCGGTCAATGTGTCTCTCTCACATAGATGTTTCTCTTTCTCTCTCCCCGCCCCCTCCACTCTCTGAAAAAATCAATGGAAAAATATCCTTAGATGAGGATTTAAAAAAAAAAGATTTAATCCTGTTTGTAGTTTTAGGGAAAAACTTCCCTAGATTGGTAAAGAAGTCAAAAAACACTACTTCAGTGTAAAATAGGTCCTAGTGGGGGGGAAAAAGTTGGTTAATTCTGTCTTGTTTAACTCTCTTTGTTTAAAAATGCTAGAGGATATTATAATTGAGTTATCTCTGCCTCCCTTGGCAAGGACACATTCCTTTTCAACTTGATATTGATTCTCTTATTTGGCTCAACTGTATGTTTTGCATCCTGTACTCATAATATCAAGAGGACTCTAATGAGGAAAAAAAATTGGTCTCAGAGTGACTGTAAATCCAGCACCCATCCTGCATACTTCATTCACAACCCTGTTTTCCCCCTTAGGATCCAAGCCACACTCAGAAGCCTGTTGACAGTAGTGCTCCTCATGCTGTTGTTCTTCATGACTTTACAGCAGGTAAGGACATAAATAATAAAGTAGCAGAGCCCTTAGGATCCAGGCGCAGGCATCCTCCTTGGTTAATCCTGAGGGACATCATTCTTCATTCTCTGTGCATCAGAGCCCTAGACTGGCAGGGTCATCTTACCAGTCACCTGTACCCAACCATTCCAGAATGCTTAGCTGCATACCCTTGCTTTTGAAACTCTCCATGAGAGAGAAAGAGAGGATGTTTCCCATATGTGTGAACAAACAGCAAACTACCTACCAGTTACAAACTTTTTAACTCTTTCAAAATAGTGGGTACCAATTATCGATTATAATGAAATCATTTCTAACTTAACAAATTAAGTTCTTTTCTCCTAAGAATTGTAAAACCTACACACATAGCTATTACTTGTGAGATGAAATATAATTTTTTTTTAGAAATAACATTTCCCTCCAAATTTTACAAGAAAATATAAATATTTTAAAATCAATTTTAAAACACCTTTGATATCCAAGGCTACAGATAAATTCTTGATTTATTTATAACTTCATTGTATCCACTTGGTAGACTGATTTTCATTTTAGTGTGAGTAAATTTACTTGCTAAAGAGCTGTAGTATTCCCTTAGTTAACATTTTGAGATTGCAGTAATTTTTAAGCATGATTGAGAACAATAAGAATATTAAACCGTGTCTATAAAACCCTTTCATTGTTCACATTGTATTCAGCAAAAGGTTTATATTGGCACAGTAGGAATCATTGGTCAGCACAGTGTTTGGTGTGCTTTTTAAACCATTTCCCATTAGTCAGTGTAGGATAAATGTATCTAATTTGATCTTAAAAGAAGAAGCTGGTAACAGCAATATTTTTTAAAAAGATATATTTTTAAGTCAATTTGATTAGTATAATCTGCTCTCTGAATCAGTAGAACATACTGCCTCGGTGGACAGAACTAAATACTACTTTGTGCTCTGCTTTAGTCAAGTTTGCAACCAGAATAATTTATCATACATAATTATAATTTTATTTTACAGAGCAAGTTGATGATTTGAATCTCACTTCTGGAGAAATTGTTTATCTTCTGGAAAAAATAGATACAGATTGGTACAGAGGAAAATATAGAAATCAGACGGGGGTATTTCCTGCCAACTATGTCAAAGTAATTGTAAGTGGGTCATGATTGTTTTAATTGGTCATACGTTCAGTGGGTTCCATGTAACTTTCAGTTTGGAAAAAGTAACTGGAGGCCTAGATTCTTGGGTTCTAATTCTCTCTTTTCCATTGATTCATTTGGTGTTAAGAAAATTCAAAAAATAAAAGTTTGTTCAACTAGATAATGGTTAATTGTTAATATATTATGAGGTACTGGAACTTAATTCCTAAATGCTGTTTGAAATCCTAAGGTGAAAAAACACTACAGGTCAACTGGCAAATCAGCTCTTCTTGGAGGATTGATAAATACTTAAGAATATATGTTAATTCTTTGAAAAATTTACTGAACAAGACTCAAAAGGTACAAGATTGTCCTGAAGGATTGTTTTCTGAGGCTACAGTACCACTTTTCCTTTTCTTTGAAGCACATTTTGTTTTTTGTTTCTTTCATTCCGTTTATTTTCTTCTCTTAGAAAAATAGACTTGGGAATACTAAAGTACTTTCATTGCAGGTAGTGGTCCATTAATGGGTTTTCACATGATGATTTCAAATCTGATTGGGGAAAACTATATTAAATTGTCAGAACTCTATACCCCTTCACAGCCTGACTTGTAACAGCAGACCTGTACAGTCAAGCCCTATAAGTGCTAAGTCCAGGTGGCTATGAAACATGGGGATAAAATACAAAGACTGCCATTTTGTCACAATAAAGGAGTGTGACTCCGTCTCTGATGTAACTTACTAATAATGGAAAATATCAATAAAACTAGCATAAATAGTTGAGCATTAACAGCTATTTGGGGGGGAAAAAGCAAATAATTTTCCATTATATCAGAGACTTAGAAAACAAATTTAACAGAGATCCTGTATTTTTCCAATATAAATGAATTGGAGTCTCTTGAATTATAAAATGTGGGCCTTACAAATTGTCGTGTGTGTGTGTGTGTGTGTGTGTGTGTGTGTGTACACACACACACACACACACACACCCTGATTCTTTGGGAAAATCCAGCCACATTCTCTAAATTAATATTAAGAAGAATGTTAGTTTTAGCTCTCTTCCTCATTTTTCTTCTGCCCAATGTAGCAGTACTTTTAAAACCACAATTACCTCACTGAAATAAATTACACTGAATCTGCTACATTATTGGTATAAGTATTATTTCTAAGCCTACGAGTTTAAAAAATTGTTTTGAAACTGAGCTTTTGGAATTCATCAAGAGGGCGCTGATTTGTTTAATAGAGGCCTCACAGCTGTCAGTGGTTGTCAGACTGAATACCCCAGGGCCAAATACTTTGTTACAGCCTGGCTCCCCTGAGCCTTGTGAATGAGGTGCTCTTTGAAGGGCTCACTGCTCAGCAGACACTGAGTACTAACTCCTTTCTTCCTCCCCCGTCACATCGATAGGAAAAAATATTCCACAGTTAGGAAAATGGAGAGCATCCACAAGTTTGATGTAAATGTTTTATTTTGGGGTCAAGAAAGTATTGCAGAATTCTGCCAACACTGTGAATAGGTGTGGTAGTGGTGCCCAAATACCTGATGCCTTGTCTATCTTAAGTCCTCCTCATCTGAAGTTCTCGGCGTAGAAGGGATATGGGATAGAGAAAACTCAGTCAGGGGTAGAATGATATTAATGTGCTTATTCCAGCAGATAAGAAAAGGATCGATTGGCTGTTCAAGGAAGGCTGCCTCACAAGTTATTATTATTATTTTTTTCAAAACCCAAATTCTGGATTTCTTACTGTTAGCTCCTATGGTACCATTTAATCAGTTAAACACCTATCTAACCTGGCTAATTTCGATCATGTATTTCCTAATTACTTAACCTTAAATTTACCTTACTAAAATCTGAAAAAATACAATTTTCACCTTGACTTGTCTTTACTAGATTGATGTTCCAGAAGGAGGAAATGGGAAAAGAGAATCAGCTTCATCTCATTGTGATAATAAGTAAGTTTTATTTGTATTCTTTTGTACAAAATGCAAAGGAGGTGAGCATTTATATCATAATTACCAAGCTTAAACACTTCAGATTGTGATTATTGATTCCGAGTGTGTCTTTTCAATTATGAGGAAAACTTTACTTGTTTAAAAGCCATAGTGGATTAAAATGCTAATGAAAATTCATCATGCTGATTCAAGACGATCTAAGCAACTCCTTGTATCAATACAGCACATGTAGACAGCAACAAGGAGCCTACCTTGCTGCTTCCCACAGCCTGGCCTCAGCTTGAGCAAAGATAGTTTGTCATCCAGTATATTTTATTTGGGCCATCTGGTGTTTATCTACCAACAATTTTTTGGAAGGTTCAAAACTCTTGTCATAGAAAATACTTAACCTTATAGAAATATGAACCATACAAAAACTGCTAGACATTTTGTATTGTTTTGTTTTTAAGAGGAACTAGAAGAAAGTAAAGGAAGGGTTAAGTTGGAGGGGTCTTCCTTTATGTCTGAAGACCTTTTCATGAATTTATACCCTTTTATGCATCATTGTAACTTTTTTGTGATTTAAAACACTGCCACAGTGCAACTTTATGTTCCAGTTAAATGAGTAAAATAAAAGAATTCACTACCTGCTGAAGATTGTAAACCTGTCTTTGAATAGGTCAGACATAAGGAGATACTCCCTGAGGACTTTAGAAAATAAATGCAAAGGTTACCACAAATAAGAAAACTTCTGATGCCACAATAGTTGAATTCTCTTTCAGGTTCAGTTTTTCTCCTATTTTTAAGCTGCATTTAATGTGTCAGCAGGTTGAATTTGAAGTGGGCTTTCACAGCTCTTGGTCCATTGACCTGACTTAAATCAGAATTTGATTGGAGCCAGTACCAACCTTTTCTCTTCAGGCAGTTGCATCTCCTGTTACTATTGAAACTTCCTTCCTAACACCTCAAATGGAAGGTTTGGTATGAAGTTATGTCTTCTAGAGACACAGTTTTATCTCTGCTTTTGTCTTATTTTCAGTCAAAAATGCAGACCATTTAAGGATTGTTCTAAATTCTCAGAAATTAAGCCTTTTTAAAGGAGATGCAAAAATCATTTTTAAAACAACAGTGTTAGGTAAAAGATTAAGTATTTATAAGATAGTATGCCGAGCTTCTGTTTTATTTGAACCTTCTAGTTTTGAAGACCATTCATCTATATACACAACTCATGACTGGTTCAACATATATTGAGCATTGACTCTGCCCAGCTGATGCCCGTTGCATTCTGTCATGGAAGTTTGATGACTTGCCCTGCGATTCTCAGGGTTAGCGCTCCTAAACTCAGTGTATTTAAATCAAGAGGGTTCAGACTGAGCCATGGATTACTGTGGTCCAAGAATACAAAGACATGGAGACTGGGGAGATTCTGAAGTGCTATAAAAGTGGCCATGAGACATGGCAGCGTAAGCTGACCACGAGCTTATGGAATTCTGAATGTCTCTGTGACACTGACTTGTAGCCTTTCTGCGTGGACAGGTTCCTGCCTGAAAAGTAAGGACTATCATTTAGAAATATAGCTTTTTCTTTTTCATGGAAAAGTTCAAATGATGCCTAGTATACCGTGCTCCCTGGTAAACACAGAATATGTATTGAAAGACTGAATGAAGGTTTTAAAGCATTTTGAAAATTAGTACTCTCTAGTTTAACCCACAAATGTAATCTTTGTTCAGAGGTCCAAGATGTGTTGCTCGGTTTGAATATATTGGAGACCAGAAGGATGAGTTAAGTTTCTTGGAGGGAGAAAGTATTGTTCTTAAAGAGTATGTGAATGAAGAATGGGCCAGAGGAGAACTTCAAGGCAGAACTGGGATTTTCCCCCTTAACTTTGTGGAACTCGCTGAGGATCATCCCACCTCTGGTTCAAATGTTTTAAGTGAGTATAGAGAATATCATTTTTTATTATGTTCTAATTGAAATAAACCAAATAATAAGATAGTACTTGAGCTTCACAGTAACTCAATGCCATTTTTTTTAAGGTAGAAGGAAAAATGATTTTAAAATGGTCATTTGTATGGGGTACTCTCACTGTGGTAATCTCTCGGAGAGCCAGCGTTGGTGTTTTAGGTAATTAGCAGTAGCTTCATATCAGAAATGGCCGATGAAGAATTATAGACTTTTAAACAGAAATGGACTATAGAGTATAACTAATGGTGTCTTCCTTCACTTCACAGTAAAGGAAAAAAGCCCAGAGAGGGTAGTGCCTGGTCAGTTACGTAGCCAGCACCTGAAGAGGCTGGTCTGCAACACCAGGCTTCTTGTTCTCCCCTCCAGTTTTTCCTCCAATACCATATGGTCTTCACATCTGAAGTTTTGACTTTTTTTAAACATAGGCACAAAGGTACCACCGAAGACCAAAAAAGAAGATTCTGGAGCAAATTCTCAGGTAGGCTGCTTGAATAGATAACTGTAATGAAAGCCAGGTTTCAACTCTGGGAAGAATATTAAAATCGTAATTACCCAGAGGAAATGTTATGAAGTCATTTTTCAATTCATATAGTAAATGTTTGAAACAGGGGTGGGAAAAAGTAGGTTTACAGTTGTGAGTATGAGAGACACAGAGTTTATTCTTATATCATTATTTATTAATAACTTACTTATTTTTATTAAAACTGTAAACCCACTTTTGCCCACCCCTATATTTAGATGGTTAATATCTTTACTGCATGTAGAGCTCATACAAACAGACTAGAAAGACATGCAAACCCTGATAGAAAACAGGGAAAAAGACATGTTGGAGAATTAAAGAGATAAAGAGATAGTATAAGTAGCTGATATTAAAAAATATTTAACCTTACTAGTAATCAAAGTGCCTTATAAAGCAATGATAAAAATACCATTTAACTTACCTAGTTAACAAGAATTCAGTACAACTCAACACTAAACAAGTAATTATATGAGTGTTAAAAACAAGAACTTACAAATGATTATTATTTTTTTTTGCCCTACAAATAGCGTAAAAAAGAGAAAGTTTTAGTCACAAAGATAGTCATAGTGGTCGTATTATAATAGGAAAAAATTTGGAAACAACCTAAATATTATCATTATTGGTAGAATGTTTTGAGGCCATGAAAAACTAGATTTTTAAAATAAATGTAATGGGAAGGAAATGTAGGAAATTGAATATATAGCATAAAATGACTAGAAGGAAATATATTTATTGACATTCAGTTGCCCCTAACTGGTAAGATTATAGGTGGGTGGAGTTTTTCCCACTTCTTCATACATTTCCAAACTTACCAAATATTTAGGAGCATTTGTATTATTTTTATAATGGGAGAGAGAAAACACTGGAGTAAAATTTTCACATACTATCCTTGGCCGGGTGGGTAGCTCAGTTGGTTGAGCTTCTTGAACATAGAGTTCCCATCCCAACTTGGCAGAGATGCCTCTTCACAGAGCAAAACCTTCCTGTAATGTGTTCAGGGTAAAGGCATTCCTGTTGGCACATTCCATCATACTAGCCCATCACATTTGGGTGGCTATTCTGCCACTCTTAGAGCTAACTATGCCTCATAAAATTAAAAGTGTGAATTAATTAAGTCTGGTGCCACAGAATCTGATAGCTTTTGAATCAAGTAAAGCCCAAGGAATTAGCAGACTGCCCATTCTGATCCTTCATCATTTAGAAGAGTTCACTGGAAATGATATGCCTTACCAGAACTTTTTTCATAGTGTCATAAATACTGTACATGAATATTGTATGCCTTTACCTAATTTTTAAAATACAACTAATATCATAAATCATAATTAGAAAAAAGGTTTTGCTTAAATATTATATATTCCTTAAAAGCGGAAAAGCCACAAATTCTATCACATCTGTCGCATAGAATTATATTTTAAGATAAAAAGTTATTGGAAATTTTTATTTTTGAAACTTGATAGCAACATAAAGTGTTGGGGATTTAAAGAAACATTCGGGCTTTGAAATCTTATGACTCCTTAATTTTCCCCCCACCATTTTTTAAGCTTTGTAGAAATCAATTTCAAATAAAATCTCACATTTTTTACCAAACTTCTGATTTGTAACAGGACAACAGTCTTTCTGGAGAATGGTGTGAAGCTCTTCACAGTTTTACAGCAGAGTCCAGTGATGACTTACCCTTCAGGAGAGGAGACCGGATCCTGATCCTCGAGCGTCTGGACTCCGACTGGTACAAGGGCAGACTTCGAGAAAGGGAGGGGATCTTCCCAGCAGTCTTTGTGCGGCCCTGCCCAGGTACAACTACAGGAAATGACTCTTATTCTCTAAGGGGAGCCTGAGACCTTTAAAGCAATATATATTTCTTTTTGCTCTGGCCATGCCCAGTTTAAGTTGTTTGCCTTCATTTGAAAAAGTTGATTCATAAAGTTTTGTAAACTCTCTTCTTCATATATTTTGTTAGAGTTATAGGGAAAAAAGATAAAAATGCCTTCACTTGATAATGGCCAATTCTTTCCCCTAAATATATTTTCTATAATTTTTTCCTGCTAAGAGAACATTCTTCATCATTTTGCAAGTTAAATAAATTGGAAATTAATTGAAAATATTTTTTCCTGGGAATGACAAGGGGTTTCTTTAAATATTTGATTTGTTTTTAGTCCAGTGTCTTTCTGTATTTTGGTGTTTTCACAGCTGACGCTAAAAGTACGTCTCCTTTATCACTGAAGGGGAGGAAAGCCAAAGCCTTGTATGATTTCCATGGGGAGAATGAAGATGAGCTTTCCTTCAAGGTCAGAATGTGTATTTTTTGTGCCCATGTTAAGCAGCTATAAATTTTGAAGTGTCTTCCATCGAAGGGTAGAACATTTGGGTGGCATATTGACCATTTGTCAAGAATGAACAGATCTCCTACTCTAAATCCAAAGAACCAGATCAGACAAAGTGAATAGGGCAAATGTAAATGATCCGCAAGGCATTTAGTTACTCAAAGAAAACCTTATTGGCTTGATAGCCCCACAATCCCCAAACGAATTTCTTATTCCTAGGCCTCGTAACATCAGATCTCAGTAATGTTGGAGTTTTCATTGGTAGCCGTAATAAAGGATGCTTCCCTGTATGGCCCTTGTATCTTACTATTGTCATGTGTATGAAATCCATGGAGAAATCAGTTGGTATCTACTGCATTTGGCTACTGCACCAGGGCCTTATAAGACACACTGGAGTCTTATCCAGAAATACAGTGACCTGGAAATGATCCCAAAACATTAAGCTACTTTGCCAAGGGTTTTTTTTTAGAAGCCTGCAATATAATCTTACTTTATCAAAGATGTGCCTCGTATTTCTTTTTTTAAGTAAAAACAATTTTCATGATCCTGTTTCCCCAGTCCATAGTTAGACCATAGTCAGAGGAAAGCTCCCTGGGTAGTACTTTGGGACTGTGCCAGAGGAAGGAGGGTAAGTTTAGTAGTCATTGCTCTCAGAAGAGCCTGTGTCAGACAACAGTAAATTTTCCATCATTGGAGATATTCAGAGAGCCAAGATGCCATAGAAGAATGAAAGCGTCAAGGAGTGATTGGACAAGATGAGTTTTAAAACAGTGGGTCCCTAAACAAGGTTGTCACCTGTCTATAACAAAAGGAGGAAAGCAAAGTGCTATTGGGTATGTGCAGGCTTTGGGGGGCCATGGGGTAAAAGCAGCATGCAGAGATATGTCAGTTATAAGGTTGCTAACTTTCCTATTTTGTGATAGGGTTTTCCTTCTGAGAATTTCTTTTATCTTTTTCATATTAAAATGTCATTTTTATTATAAAATATTACATATTTTATATTTAACAGTAAATGATAGATAGTTCTCATGCAAAATTATAATTTGGTATCTCTCTCTCTCTCTCTCTCTTTTTCTCTCTCTCTCCTTCTTTCCAAAATTTTTTGGTTCTTAAAACCCAAATGTTTGGAAGCTGTTGCCCCAGTCCTTTTTAGTCTTGACAGTCAGTAACTGAAAATTATTCCTTTTATCTTTACATAGAATGTTACTTCAAGTGAACAACCTGGATTCACACTTTTTGGATGTTATTTTGGCATTCATTTAAGTTATGTCATATGAATAACAATACACTAGTATCTTTCAGAAAATAGGTGGTCATCATTTTACAAATGACTGTAAGCAAGATAGTTCTAGAGTTTTTAGCTAAGGAATTCTGCACTGCCTTCAGTATTGTTGATCATTAATATTTTATTAAATATCCACAAAGTAGTAGTAGATTTTTTTTTTTAAGTTGTCCTGGCCCTCAGAAAACTGACATACTATGTATGTGTGGAACAGGGCTAAGAAAAATAGTTTTAGTCAACCATTATGTTATAATTTAGGAACCAGAAGGAACTTATTTATGACAGAAACTTTGAGTAACCAGAAGTTTTACAGATTTTAGCAGAGTAAAGTAAATTAATGACATTTGATATCAGCATTTTTCCTTTCCATTTTCCATAAAGAAAGGCCTTAAATCAGATCATTTTTTCCCCCCAGAGGCCTATGTACTAGGCTACAAATAAATCCAGTTAGCCCAATAAAGATATTCTTTAAAGTAGCTAGAGTCATTTTGGACAATTACAGAATCTTAAACTCAGATTCTAAGAAATTATTAGAAACAATACAGAGCAAAATAGTTCCCAGAGGTAATTTTAAAAATTATGTCATCTGTTGAAGATTTATAATTCACACATGAAGAAGATACACAGTCCTTTACTGTCCTGATGAGGATTAATCAGTGTTCTGAGTCCCAGTGAAGCTCTTTAAGGCAGGAAGAATGCAGATTTGATATTGAGGCCAGGGAGGGTGGAATGCACCAAATGGCAGAGATACCGCCATTATGTGGGAGAACAAATGTACAGTACAAAATGCTCAGCATGACGAGAAAGGCGATCACTGTAAAAGCCTTTCTAAGTGAAGAGGTCTGCTGTAAAATGTGGTGGCCATGTGCCTAATGGTTAGCAATAGAGGCCCTGAAATCACACTAGATTTGAATCCTGTCTCTACCACTAACAGGACATGCGACACTAAGCAAATTACTTAATACCCGAGCTTAAATTTCCTCCTCTTTAAAAGAAGGAAATCTATACAAGTATTTCTCTAGGACCGCAGTGTTGTGTATATGAGTTAATTCCTATAAAGTACATAAAATAGGACAAGGCATACAGTAAGCACATGGCTCACTCATCTCCAAGTCTTTGCTTAAATGTCATCTTCAGTGGGGCCTTCCCAGACTGCTCTAATGAGATGGCAGCCAACCCCACTCTTTCTTTCTCTACCAGCTTATTTATTTGTCTTCCCACTCTAGAATGTCTTTGCCTGGTCAGTGAGGCTCGGTGGTTGAGCGTTGACCCATGCACCAAGAGGTCACCGGTTTGATTCCCAGTCAGGGGCTCGATTCGCAGTAGGGAGTGTGCAGGAGGCAGCAGATGCATGTTGATTCTCTCCCATTGATGTTTCTATCTCTCCCTTTTCCTTCCTCTCTCTTTAAAATCAATTTAAAAAAATATTTTTTTTTAAAAAGAATTTATTTAGAATGGGTTCTTTATTCATTGCTGTATCCATAATGCCCAGAACAATAGTGTCTGAAATATAGTGGTTGCTCAATAAATAATTGTTAGATGGAGGGTAGAGGGGACATGCATACACACACACACATACACATACATATACATACACAAATATATGTGATAGCTGGTGGTGTTATTTATTAAAGAAGAACTTAAATTAGGAGTGAATTTTGGGGGCACAAAATACAAGCAGGAAAATCAAAGGGCAGCAAGAGTGACAATGGCAAAGAAATGAGCTTTGAGGAAAAAAGGCATAGAAGTGGCATCATTAGGTGCAGATTATCTTTGTGGTATATCATTCAATCCTCTCAGCAAATCATGGTAAGTTAAATAAAGAGAATATACATGCCTTTCCAAATGGGCTGCCTACTATGTTTATACTCAACAGAAACTAATAATTATTTCTAATTCCTATCTTCTTACAGGCTGGAGATACAATAACAGAGCTGGAATCTGTAGACGATGACTGGATGAGTGGAGAACTAATGGGAAAATCTGGAATATTTCCCAAAAACTATGTTCAGGTTTTACAAGTCAGCTAAAGATGAAGCTTGACTGTGTTCCTTGGCACAAGAGCTCACTTGAACTATCATTTTGACTATCAGATATGGTTTTTTGCACTATTTTTTTAAACTGAAAGAAATATCTATGCTGTACATGGCACACTAGAATTTTCTGAAAGCAGAAAATGTCTAAATTTCATAATTAGCTTTCACTCAGAGTAGAAAAGTGCAGGTGAAAACCCATGAGCAACATGGACAACATCAAAGAGGGTGAGCAAGACAGGTAAACACTTCCCCCAGGGAAAGCGCCTGGTGACAAGGGAGGCTTACAAGCAAAAGTTGCACTTGGACATTTATTTTCATCAGCAGAAGTCAATTAACTGTGCTTCATTTTTTCACTTTCTTTTAAAAGGAGGACATTCAATATTCTACATGCTGTAACTATCAGGGCATGGTTGGTAATATAAATTTCATTTTTTATATTCAAATTAATTCTAACAGCTTAAGTTCATTATCTTCATTCTCAGGGCAAATCCTTGCTTCAGGAGGGGGTAGTTTATTGACTAGTTGGAGCCTGCGTAAGAACTCGGTGAATCAGCTCATGCTCGCCAAATGCTTCTTGTGTTAATAAGTGTTTCCCCTTTGCCCAAGGATTTGCAGGGGGTTAAAATTTGATGCATCTTAGTCAAAAGAACCAAAACCACCCTGAGATGCCATGCTAATATGACTAACACTTCCACATACCTGCTGTACTTCTTTCTTTCCTCCATTTATACTTTATACAGGCTTGTTATAAAGCATATTTTCTGAATCTACAATCATTCTTTTGACAATTACTGGTACCCAAAGAAAAATTCATTTTCTTTGTGTAACTCCAGTAATATGTAAAAACTGTGTCTTGTTATAGTGGTACATTATGAATCACATATATCTCAGAATACAGAGCAACTGTTAAGATGGAAAACAATACCAAGCCCCCATAGCTCATTTCTTCCCAGTATAATCAGAATGAAAAATAATTTAAGAAGGCTGATACTCTTTGGGGTTTTCCCCCCCAGCTCATCCCTTCACAATTATTAAATAAAAAACCACTTTCCTGCTGTATCCATTGTTATGCATGCCAGGCTTAAGCTAAAAGCAGTTCTTTATAGGACTGAATCAATTCTAGTTTATGAGCTAAAGCCAAATAAGTTGAAGACAATCTTCCAAACAGATCAATGGAATAGAATTTCATTGGAAAACACTTTCCCAACAATGTTCATGACTTTCTTCTATTTTTAAGAAGATTTTGATATACTGGGCCACTTTTTAGCTTTTGTTATTGTTTCCCATTGTCCAAAAAGTTAGGCAGCCAATGGTCAAACCATTATGTGAACACAAGATGGAGTTTTAGAAGGGAAGAGCTATTTACTTCATCTTTGATTAAAGGTCACCTGCCAGTTATATGGTTATAAATGATATAGGGGCTGCATTTTTCTGTATGTTTTGGGTAAAGAAGACAATATAAAGAAAACTCTTGTCAAATTTTACTCAGGAGTAATTTCATGAGAAATGGATGACTTAAAGCATTATCCCAATTAAATTCCCATTTCTAGCAAGCTGTATAATAGGAAGTAGGGTGTGTCTGGAAAAGGACATGAGATATATTTCTTTGCCTGTTTTATTTTAACATCTTATATTAAAGATCATGAAAACTTAGCTTTATTGGAGAAAAATACCCTCTTAAATTTTGGCCTTCTGTCAGCAGAATAATAAGTGTCATAGTTGTAAATCTACTTGACATTGTAATAAATGCAGCTGAACTTTTCAAAGTCCTTTTCTCATACTAGACCAAGTTTTTTTGAGAATGGAGATGGTATCTTCTCTTTATAATTCCAGCCCCTTTGCTCAGTATAATCTCAAGAAAGGTAGGATGGATGGATGGATGGATGGATGGATGGCTTATTTGGCAATACCGTCTTGGATACACTGAGATCTAATATCTTTCCTCCTTAATTTGACAAAAATATTTATTGAAACAAAATTTTGCAGTTTTTATGTCATTTCACTTCATCATGCTACAGTTTTTGCTTGTCATTTATTATCCACTCAACTGACAAGAAGACAAAATGTAGCTTGGTATGGGTTTTCACAGGTACTTTATTATTCTGTATATTGATTGAGCATAATTTTTATAGTCTGAATTTCATAGGGGAAAAATAGGAATGTATTGTTTTTCCTTTCAGGAATTTTAGGTGAAAACCTGATATTGTTCATCCAAGACTCCTCAAAGTAGAATCTCCAAATACTTTTTAAAAAAATTACAACTAGAGAATTCATTTAATATATTATTCTTACCCATTTGATTACCCCTTTGAACACTAAAAGCAGATTTCATTAAAAGATGCACTTGTTTACATGGCTAGAGGGGTAATGTAATAAATGTCTTTTATTGTGCTCTAGGAAATCACAGTTTTTGAATACAGCCTGAAACATTCCGAGTATCAGTATATTTATCAAAATTTGTTAGAACTGGTATTTTTTAAAATATTCTTTTTCTATAGGGTTTTCATACATCAGTATTCTTAACAATAACTTAGTTTTTATTCAATTTCTTAAGCTTAGGTAAATATACCTAGAGAAATACTGATGGCTATATGGACAAATTACAAGGATATTTGTATAATCATTAATGGTTTATTCCTTTTAATTAATGTCAAATGCATATGGGCCATAGATATGACTCATAATTCAGTGTCATTTTAAATGCCATTGAAAACTTTTAACAGTGAATTTTTCCAGAACAGGAAATAATTTTCTAACCTATGCCTTTATATTTCACTGTAATTATAGAGGGGGGAAAATACAAAGCCTATTTCAGAACAACAGCACCATCTAGGGGCCTCTCACCTAATGGCAAGTCCATCCTGTTACACCACAGAGGAGCGTCTTCGGACCAGAGCTGTACCTGCAGAGGTTAAATGATTTGCCTAAGGCCATACAGGTATGGCAGAACCTAAAGCAAAACCTAGCTCCACTGTTCCCAATTCAGTACTTTCTCCATTTGTTGTGCTGAAGTGGTACATTTCTCTTTAGCAGTTAAACAAGTATAATTGATCTGTTTTATTGGCCTGAAAAGTTTAACTTCTTTGCTACAATAGGATTAGGACAAGTTACAATGAATAAGCTAGTAAATTTTTATTTCAAAGCCTGAGACACATTCTGGGTTTCTTAAAATGAATCGTAATTGTATGTACACCATGGATTGTTTATCTTCAGATACTGCAAAGTAGGCAATAACTCAGTGAAATATTTCTCAGAATAAGTAATGATTCAGATTCATAATTCAGAAAGGACAATTACCTCCAGTTGTCTATCTTGTTTTAAAAGAAATTGACTGACACTCTTAATACCAAAATATTGGCCCATATTTAGTTCTTTATAATTAAAATAAAGCTACATTTATCTCTCCAGTCATATCCAAGTTTTTTATTGGATAGAGCCCTGACTCAAAGGATCACCGATGCCCACCACACTGTTCCCCAGGATCCCAGTTGGCCAACAGCTGAAGAACAGTTACTTCTGAAGAGCCTGAGTGTGTGGCTATCCCTTCAGTGCAGTACTATGCCTAAGACTACACTAGGGAGACAGTGGTTTCTTCTCTTTAGCCATATGAAATATCAAAGTTGTTAAAAATATACAGTGATTGGAAAAAATCCAACTCATCTGTATATACAGAGCATTCTAGGGGAAGATGAATGTGTGTGAGCAGGCTGACGCCTGCCATCTTTGCTGGTGTGAGGGGCCTCGTTGGGCTGTGAGAAGACCTAGATGTCCACAGCAATAAGGGAGTTGGGGGCAAGTTCATAGAACAGAAGAAAACAGGGCAGTAAGACTAGTTATGAAGGATGACTTCCCCTATGCAGGTGTGTCGGGCTGATCCTGTTGGATGGGGCTGATGATGGCCTCTATATCGTATTCTGTTTGATGGACACCAGGAGGGACTACTTTATAAAGAGAATAAGGGTAAAGATGAAACTGTAGAAGCCGAGTATCTTGGGGAAGATGAGAATCAGGATCCCGGCTTAGCAGACCATGCACACTGATGTTCCCCCACACACAGCTGGCAGCCAAATCACTCAAGCTGGTACTGAGCTTCAGAAAGTTAGATTTTCTTTTTTAGGATTTGGCAGTGAGGATCACTACCATCAGGCCATAGATAGCCAATTATATTGACCCTGACCACTAGAATGTGGGACATCTTGATCAGATCTGGCCACGTGATCATGGAGGTGATGCCCAGCCCACCTGCAGAACTATACCTGTAGTCTAGGTCCTGAATACCATGACAACCAAGAAATCCACGACAGGAAAAAAAAATGTATTTAGGTTTGGTTCCAGACTTGAATGGGTGTGACGAGCCAATTTCATTGTGTGGAAAGCATACCCCAGATTAGGACATACACAAAAATACAAGTCTGTGACCTAGCTGGCTAGACCCACATTTTTAAAAATTGGGGTATGATTTGCATAAAATAGATAACAAAGTACACAATTCTAAGTTTTGACAATTATATACTCATATAGCCACCAATATATAGAACATTTTCATCATCCAGGAAGTTCCTCATACCTCTTTCCAGTCAGTTATCTCCCCCCACATCCACTTACCCCTGCGGAGCAATCAGTTCTCTATCATCATAGATTCATTTTGCCTGTTCTGAAACTTAATAAAAATAGAACAACATAGTATCTGCTCCTCCCTTCTGGATTCTTTTGCTCAAATTAAGTGGTATAACAGGTGTTTAAAATTTTAAAGCAGCTACTCATTTTCCAAAGTGGTGGTACCATTTTACACTCCACTATTAACGTCTGAGAGTTCCAGTTACTCCACACTTACCAACATTTTATCAGTCTATTTGTATTGTCAGTTTCAGCCACTGTGGTTTTGATACAAAACCAGTAACAGTACTGCAAATAGACTTCTAAGAGCTTATGACACCTGAATTCTTTACTTTATGGTCTTAAATGGAAGCTACCTACCTTTCATAGCTTTCACACTTGCATTGCTTATCACATTATATCCGGTAGAGAATTACCCATTAAGTCAGTGTGACTGGAATACTATTAATGACTGTGATTGTTTCCTCTTTAAGGAATCATGAGTGCTCGCCACGGCAGCACATATACTATAAAAAAAATCACCTTATTGATACATTCCAAAATGTGGCTTCAAAATACTGGGGAGGAAGTGTCAGGAACTGGGCTATTTTGACATTTTACCCAGTAGCCTGCCAGTTTTATGGATGCTGGCAAGACACAAGACTCCTGGGTCAAAAAGGAAGGACTTATTACTGCAAAAAGCAATAAGTCAGAGCTTCATGTTCATTTGTTTCCCATCCCACAGAAGTGATTCAAATGGCCTATCACACAGTGGGTTGCATAACGGAAGAGGAACACTAACATTTACCACAATAGTTAAGTGGCAACAAGCCTGCTTTTTCCAGGGGGAGACATTACCTCGCCCCTCAAGGTTTCTCAAGAGGATGCAAATACAGCCCTGAGAAATGGCCCAGATAGAGTCATCAGAATTGAAGTCTTGGTATACTCAACAAGAGCACGCAGGGACAATCAGGATCCATAGCTGATTGCTTCCCAGTTCGCTCCTCTGCATGACACAATCTTGGCCAAACGAGATTTTTTACCTGAGTATGCTCCTTCATCAGCGATTGCCACTGGTTAATCTAAGAGGTTAGACTCATACAGTTAAAGCTGTTATCTGTAATATTCAAAGTAGCAGATATAGCTAACTTGCAGTGACCACCTCAGTCATTCTCTCCAGGTGCCCCGACTCTGCATAAATCCAAGGGGGTGTAGGAGCAGTAGGTCTTTAAGCTGCCCTTATGTATTCCAAGGCCAGACTATTCATTACAACCTGTGCAAATGAGTTTAAACTGATCTGCTAATCCTTGGTGTTACTGGCAGTAATTAAAGGCAATAGATGGGCTAAAACCTGCCTGAAATGGAGACCTCTCATGACCCATTTCTTCCCCCCACATACAAAAATGTAACTCAAGGGCACAGGTCACTTTCAGGTTTAGTGGTAAATGTCCAAAGACTGAGCCTAGGGCTCTCCAACATACTACGGTCTAAGGATGACCTAGCAAAGGAAAACCAGTAACATGGGAGGAAAACTTTGAAGTGAGATTTAAAGCACAGTTAAAAACTGGAGGATATCAACTGTCAAATGTCACTTAATAGAGGTAAAGTGAAAAGCCAAGAATGAACCATTGGACTTAGCAATAAAGGCAATGGTAATCTTGACAGCAACAGCTTCCTTTGGAGTGGTGTGAGGGAGAGGGGAGCCCTAACAGTTCATCCAGTGACAAGGCAGACAATGTGAACACACCCATAGATGGCAGGGTGGAAGTAATGGGAATCAGCTGAGTGCAAATGAGAACGAGGTTCGAAGAGAGGAAGGGTACAGAACAGACCCAGTGGAAGAGTAAGTACTCAATAGTGGGCTGCATTAAATGGCAATAATCAATTTCTCTAGCCAAGTTCAGCTTCACAGTGCAGGTGCACAGTGGGACATTTTACAGCTATAGGAAGAGATAGCATTTGGGTTTAAAAACAAAACTAATAAACTGATGAACAAAATAGATCCAGACACAGAAACATGGAACAGACTGAGGGATCTCAGAGGGAAGGCAGGGGTGGGGGAGTGGGTGGGGAGAGATTAATCTAAGAACTTATATGCATAACCTATGGACACAGACATTGGTACGGGGAAGGCCTGGGGGTGGGGTGGATGCAGGGTGGAGGAGATCAATGGGGGGAAAAAGGGGGACATCTGTAATACTTTCAACAATAAACTAAAGCCAACTGGCTCTCTCCATTAGTCAGTCTATCTTATCATAGACTGGGCATCAGTATTACATAACTCCAGAAACTCTAGGAGCAGGGCTCTGCAATGTTTTAACAAGCTTTCCAGAGGGCTTAAAAACCATCAAAATTTAAGCCATATTAAGGGTTTCGTTTTATTAGCCATCTCTAACATCTCCAGATCACTACAGCTTAAAATAATCACTACCCTTTCTCAGCTACTTAGAGCAATAGTTAAAATCCACACAACAGGACAGAAAAGTTCACATTACTATCAGTTCAGAACATACAATTCACCAAGCTGTTAGATTTTAAAAGAATGATCAGAAATAAAATATCACAAATAAGATTTTTTATTCATCACCATTAAATGTCTGAATTTTAAACAGATTCCTGGACCGGGGGCTCATATCCATCAGCTCGTTCAACTTTAGCACCTGTCTCATCCCCAGTAGCTTTTCCAGAACTGCTACCTTCACCATGAAGCTCCATGAGTTTTCCCACTAAAAGGAAGAAAAAAAATTGTTACAGTATACATATCTTGAAACATTGGTCCTTCAATGTTGTGTAGGCATGACAGAAAAAAAGCCACTATCTGGCCACCCAAAAAACAAACACAAAAAATGCATTTGACCATATAAATTTTTTTCAGGAATCCAGTGATTTTTCACTTACATTCAAACTTGGGCTTCTTCAGCATCTTGACTTTTCTAACAAAGACATCATGGAGTGGATAAATAGACTGACAAGCCTTTTCTATGTCTTTTCCAATGCTGTCTGGAATCCTACAAACCAGTAATGATAGATTAGAATAAATCTACATGGAATATCCCCCCCCCCATTTAATCCATAAATCCTCATGTAAGACAGTCTACTACTGCCCCTTTACAGGTGAAATGATCTGAACTACACAGCTATAGTTAGTAGCAAAGTTAGCATTTGAGCCTTCTGAGTCCAAGCTTTGTGCCTTTTCCATTACACCCTCTTAGCCAACTGCATGGGAACATCAGAAAAATGTTTTAAGTTTTATCACTGGACATCATATGGGACCGAAACATTTTGTCATCACTTATTCCCATACATTACTGGTTGTGGAGGGTTTTGTCTATTCAATATATTTTCTAATTAAGACAAAAGCACTTCTGTGCTCTAAGGCTCACTAACTGCCATGAGACAGCTTCATTCGTAAAAGGATAAAGAAACCAAATCTTTTGCTAAGCACTGGGCATACTTTCATTTCAAGGGATATAACTAGATGGCTTCACAGACAGGATTTTAGCACAGGTCTGTCTGACTCCACCTTGTCTTACCTGCTTTCCCTCAGAGATTCAGAATGGTGTGAGGGAAAAGAAACACTTACAATTTATTGACCACTTCTTTCAAGTCATTTGTCTGCACCTCTCGGGTCATGATTTCCATCATCTTCTTCCGGATTTGGCGGACCTGTTGATGCTGAGCATAAGAGGTCTTCCGAATCTGATTGTTGCGTTTTTTAGTAAAACCAACACAGAATAGACGAAGCAAATAGCCATCCGTAGTCTTGACATCAACATGAGCTTCAATCATGGTCTAGTGAAAAAAAAAAAAG